TTTTAAGGAACTGAATTTAAAATCTTTTGGTCATACATGAGTAGGGAACATTACCCTAAGTTTCAATTTTCTAGCTTTCCCCGTTCCCAGGTTAGTAATTTTTGCGCCAAAATTTCCACGCGCTCGTATGTGGGTTCTAGCGCTTCTAAATACCTGATTTTGCTCGTACATGGGTAGGGAACATTCCCTTAAAGTTTCAGTTTTCTAGTTTTTCCCGTTCCCGAATAAATAACTTTCGCGTCAAAATTTTCACGTGCTCGTACGTGAGCCCCTGGCGGTCTTAAAGAGCTGAGTTTGAAAACTTTTGGTCGTGCATGAGTATGTAACATTTTCTCAAAGTCTCAACTTTCTAGCTTTTCTCATTCTTGAGTTATGAATTTTTCCGCCATAACTTTCACGCGCCTGTACGTAAGCCCGGGTACTCCTGGGCAGCTGAATTTGAAATCTTTTTGTCATACATGGGTAGGGAATATTCCCCAAGTTTTCAGCTTTCTAGCTTTCCTCGTTCCCGAGTTAGCAGTTTTCGCGCCAAAACTTTCACGTGCTCGTACGTCCAAAGTTTCAGCTTTCTAGCTTTTCTCGTTCCCGAGTTAGCGATTTTCGCGCAAAACTTTCACGTGCGGGCAGTCCTGGGCAGCTGAATTTGAAATCTTTTTGTCGTATACGGGTGGGGAACGTTCTCCCAAGGGTTTCAGCTTTCTAGCTTTTCTCGTTCCCGAGTTAGCGATTTTCGCGCCAAAACTTTCACGTGCTCATATGCGGGACCCAGACGTGTGTGAGAGTTGGAACCACGGCCCTGGAGTGGTATCTGGCTGGGAAACACGCTGGCAAAATTTCAGCTTCAAAGCTTGCGTGGTTAGCGAGTTGAAATTCCGGAGACATACACACACACGCACACACATACACACTAACAGGATTGTTGCAATATGCGTTTTTGCTGCCTGATGCGGCGCTCTAGCGCTGCACGGCAAAAGCGCATAAAAAGGATAAAAATTTTAAGATTTCCAATTTGTAATTTTCACGATTCCGCGGATGTAAAATTAGCCCGAACTCAGGCCTGAAGTTATAGATTAAGTCATATTGAAGACTGAAAGCAAATTTGAAATTATCCATCGTGATAAAAAAATCTCCGAAATTTCAAACTTTTAACTGCCTTAATTCCTAAATTATAAAACAAATCTGGATGTGGACGCACAGACAAGTCGGGGTACAGGACGAGTTCTATCTGTGGGTTCGCAAACGACCGAATTTCTGCTTCCTGGCATTTGTGCATCTGCAACTGAACTACTGATATACTACTCGCACACACATATACAGCTTCACCATAATGCATTTTGATTTTCATAATTACACAAACGCATAATAATTAGCAGCGGACGTTGTTCTGTGCATTTCTGATCACAGCTGATTTATTCCCTGGACACGACCTCCACTTTGCATTGCTCTTTGACAGTTGGCAGTCCAAAGAGGGAGAGGGAGGAGGGAGGGCAGCTCAATGCCAGCTTCATCACAACAGAAATGACAAATTAAATCAAACAGTGCTATAAATGTGCATCGGAAGTATATATGTCAAATAATGTAAATACAAAGGAATGAAAATATACGAAAAAAAAAAACGCTCAAATAAAAGTGAAAAAATCTGAATCGTTCGAAGAACACAAACAAGCCTCTCTGTTGCTCTATTCAGAAATCAACTGGTATCAGCGCTAGACGATGTTGTGAACATTCCCGTGACTTTTCGACTTAAACTACAGAAATGTTTACCAAAAAGGTCTCTCGGACTGCCGTTCCACCCTTCCCTACCCGCCTTCCCTGCGAAAAATTCACACAGTCAAAGATGGATGGGAAGTAACCACTCTGCAAATTTCGGCTCTCGTGAAATAAAGAACTGAACTAACATGAAGCGCATTTTTCAGCTACGATTACAGAGCACATGATGTACGTGGAATACCAATCATGTACGACGTGGTGCATGAGTTAATCCTCAGGTGGATTACGATGCCTGATCCTAACTGGTAAATGCGGATTGCCTGTTTCGGAATTTGACGAACTATCCGAACTAGAAGGCGTAACATCACCTTCGACAACTTCGGGACGCAGACGCACATAGCGAGCTCTTTCATTCATCTCCCTCCACAGCAACGGCACCAAACACAAGATTGTGCTGAACATCTACAATAAGTAATATTGATGATCAGAGTAGCAGTCGTCATGATAGGTAAATAATAATTCAATATTCAGGCTTTTCATAACTGTTTTTCATCGAAAGAATTGAGTTTTTATCGCAAGAACTTCTACTGCATAAGAACCTCCATAGCACAAGGGCCCAACAATAAAGCCTATACCAAAATTAAAATGAAAGTTTATCGTAAAAGTTTAATTCAACAAAATTACACATTACCATAGCAATGAAGCCGTAAAAAACAGCAATCCAGCCAAAACGTGCTTCGATTTTTGGAATGAGAAGTTGGCCAATACCGGCACCAACACTACCAGTGCCGTCTATAATGCCCGTAACTGTGCTTAACGCCTCTGCCGACCCTCTGATTACTTCTGCTTTTCCTGAAAGTAAGTACTGTCAAAAAAAAAAAGTTGACCCAACTGATGTAGTGAAAATTTCAAAACAAAAGAACTGCAAACCGAGATCAGCAGAAACAGCAGACGATATGAGATTCGCTGGACCACCAACAAAGAAACCCGTCAATGCCATCAGCAAAGAATTGACCAAAACGCTGTTAGGCGAATCTATGAGGAAAAATATCATGATTACCTTTAGGAATAATACCGCCCTCCATAAATTATTCAGACATGCTTAGCAAAAGATGGTAATGATAAAAAAAGTCTAATTCTGTAACAAGGTCTAAAAAAGCTAGTCTAAAAGCGCTAACAAAAAGTTTAAACTATGAAAGGAAGAAGCCTAATTCCTCAAGACCTGTGTTTAGTTTTCAAAAACAGCGGAAGGCAGCCATCTATAAATGAACATTTCTAAAAACAGTGCAAACTTGACTTACTTGCATAAAAGAACAACGCGCCCATAGACATTACAAGCATGGAGACCAAAATGGGTGTGCGCGATGAAAAGCGATCCTACAAAAAAAGAGGCACTTTTGAAGTGTTCAACAAATTTGTGGATTTGACATCTGCTTGAAGAAGACAAATTTCGCTCACTACTCTCTGCTATCGAATGGAGGCTCAACGACTTACCGATGCAATTCCAGCAACTACAGCAGCGACGATGCCACCGAGATCGTACCACGCTGACAGTTCGTCGGCTAAAGATTCTTTCCAACCATAGTGGGCATGAAGATAGAACGGTAACCAGAAAAAAAATGAATAATTCACTAGCTTGAGACACGCGTATGCCAGAGAATACTGAAAAAAAAAAAAAACATCAATTCCGAGATATTAACGAAAGAGCTAAACGGAGGGTTATCAAAGACCCACCGATGAATCACGAAGTAATAAGTGACAAATAGTACCACGACAGGAAATTTGCTACTAAAAAGTGAAATTTTTACTGCTCCTCTGAAGCTCACATCTTCAACAAGTAGACAATTCAGGGAGCGAAAGAGGCAGCACGTTTGAATCTCAGTTCACGGTACGTTAATTTCCTTGGATGCAATTACGACGGTAACTGCCACTATTTAAAAAGACCCTGCAAATCTGTGATGCTGACCATAAACTCACAGCAATCACGCCTGGCAGGAACCACGCCCGCCAAAAACTTATCGCTTTTCGTTGTCCGGAAGCTCCATCAAATATGTCTGCCGCATCGCGTTCTAGAATAAAAAAAAAAAAACTTCAATATTACCATTCAGTTTCGCTTTAAAAAATTAAAAAAGAGAAGGTATCTGAGGAAAACGGAGCAGAATTTGATAAAACACAACAGATACAAATCACAGAAGCAAAGTGAATAAATTTCGAGAAGTACCGTGCTGGTGTGGTGACGGTGAGAGACAGAAGAAGATGAGAATGCCGCCGACGAAAAGTGAGCCGGAGTTGGCCGCGAACGAGTACTGCAACAGAGTGGAATAAGGCGCGAAAACTTATATCAGCTGATTTTGAACATGAACGCCTGCTACAAGCTGTCCTCAGAACTGTGTGAGAAAAGAGCTCCACTGAACTTCGTAGCCCATCTGCACGGTTTGCGACGAGACCAACGTTCCCAAAATATTTCCGACCGAAGCACACGCTGACCAAAGTCCCAAAACAGCACCACGACTGTTATGTCCAAACCAGCTGCCCATCACAGCAATCTGTAATCCACTGCAGTTCTTCCTTTCCCGGCACAACTGAGAATCAAAAACAACGCTGCAGACTAACAGCAAAGGAAATTACCTCAGTGGGCCAGGCAACGGACTGAAACAAACCGCACGCTATCCAGGTTGCTGTATAATATGACAGTGAACGCAATGCCAACCATTTTGAGAGCGTCCCGAACAGGAATATCTGAAACGATCACCAGCTAAGGCAAGCAGCAGCAGCAGCAGCAACAGTGTGCAGCTCTTGATATTGCTGAAATGCAAAACCTCCCTAACGGCAAAAGTTTGTTGCTAGCTTGTGAGGCTCAAGCAGAAAGCGCATCAAAAAATAAACGCAGAACTGACGGGAAACAGCCCCAAACACCCTTGTCCGGCAGTGAACGGGGACGCAAACGAATGAACTTACAGTGACCGAAGACGTCCACATGCCAGCAGCAAGCACTTTTGCTGGATCATATCGGTCACCCAGTGTACCACCAACGTAAAGTCCCTTCAAAAAAAAAGCATTTAAACATCCTCAAATATTTTTCGTTGACTTCTCCGAAGAGTTCTTTCTGGCCTACAGCACAAAAGCCGCAGCGAGCCTAGCCCCAATACTGTAGGTTGCATGGGCCGCTTCCCAATGCTTGCCCTCGAAG